GCTGATTTTGCTAATTGCACTGGGATTATGTATGAGAATGTCCTTGTTTTCTTTCTTTTCTTTTGTTTTCTTTTTTACAAACACACACTGAAGTATCGAGCAGTAAAAAGAAAAAAAGTAGAGGTTTAAAAGAACAATAATTAATCATTTCTCACAGCTGCGTGGGTCACCTGAGCACTTCCTCTACTGCCTGTGTCTGGCCTTGCCCATGTGGCTGGGAGTCCCTCCCATGACTGGCAGTTGGCACTGAGCTGGCTGGGGCTCTTTAGCTCTCCTCCACCTGGCTTCTCATCCTGGAGTCTGGACTGGTTTATGTATGGGACAATCTTGGGTTATACACTAAGTGGATGAAGGCAAAGCTTCAAGTCACCCTGTGGCCTGGCCCCTGGAGCCCATATGGCATCCTTTTCACCACATTCTACTGTACAAGGCAAGTCCCAAGTCCAGCCCAGATTCACAGAGTGGGGAAATAGACTTCATCTCCTCATGGGAGGACTGCTGGAAATGTGTAGCTGTATTTAGTCTCCCATCTGGGTCCCATCAGGATGCATGGGGACAAACACCACCGTTTGCAACCCCCTATTTGCTTCTCTCTGAGGCTGAGGTCTCTTTATGCAGAGCCAGAATCAGAATTTTTATATCAAAGAAGCATGGGAGCAGTCCTGTGGAAGAAGGTTAGTTAGTAGACTTGTTTTCAAACTGATTGTAAAATAATTTTTTTATTTTATTGAGATATATTTACACACAGAAAAATCCATTCATTTTCTGGGTTTTAACAAATGCAGGCAGTTATACTCCTACCACCACCATCATGCCACTTGTAGCACCTCTGCATTCCCCTTCTCCCAGCCACAGGCCTGGTTTGTGTTCCTACAGTTTTGCCTTAGAATGTCATATAAATGGAATCACACTACTATGGTTTGAATGAGTCCCCTAAACACATTCAAAACATTATTGTTATTGTAAGCCTCTACTTGTTTTCTTTTTGTGTGTTGGAAACTGAATCCCCAGTGAGATAGTATTGAAAGGTGGGAACTTGAAGGAGTGATTAGGTCATGATGGATTAATGTTGTTCCTGTTATCTCAGGAATGGTTTCATTATCAAGAGAGTGGGTTTGTTACAAAAGTGAGGTCAGCCCTCTCTTATATTCTCTTGACCACTTGCCTTCTGCCTTGGAATGACACAGTTAAAAGGCCCTGACCAGATGCTGGTGCCATGCTTTTGGACTTCCCACCCTCTAGAACTGTGAGCCAATAAATTTCTATTCTTTATAAATTACCCAATCTCAAGTATTCTGTTATAGCAACACAAATGGAGACACACATTCTTTGGTGAAATGTCTCTTTATATTTTTTGTACATTTTTTGAAAATGTTCTTTGTTTTGTTACTCTGGAGTTTCGAGAATCAACAAAGTCCAACTTTCAGTATCATAAGGTCCCGTTTTCTTCTATAGGTTTTATAGCTTTTGGTTGTACAAATGGACCCATGATCCTTTTTGAGATTTTTTTAAGTATAAAATATGAGCTAGAGATTGAAGTTCATTTGTTTCTGCATATGGATGTTTAATTGTTCTGGCATCATTTGCTAAAAATTCATTGCAGAGCAAATTCACCTGGATTTTGTGTTTGTTTGAGTGTTTGCTGAGGAATGAAAGAAATTATTGCTGGGTACGGCAGAAGAACCCTTTTGCTCTCTCCTTGGCACTAGACCTTGGATTTCCACCCTACCCACAGGCACTGGGCAGTAGGGCAGGTCCTGTCAAAGGGACAGTCTTCATGGACCCTGCCAGGTTTCGTATGGTTACTGTTTAACACTTTAAATAAAAATGAGATTATCTTATAACCACTGAGACTTTGAATGTTACTCCAAACCCTCAGTGTGTGAACACAACCTTTATTGTCAAATATTTAATGAATAAGAACCACTGATGACCTCTCAGACTCCTTTGATGTAGAGAGGAACCTGGCAAGGTCCTAAAACAAGTTTCTGCAGGGCAAGAAGAGCGCCTAGCATAGAGGGGTCTTCATAGCAGAGTCTGGAAATGAAAGAATAGGATTTGCCTAAGGCTCCCATACTCAGCCTTGTGGTGTGGGGACTCCTGGTCCTGTGCACACAGCTTGTGCCGTGCTCTTCATGGTGTGGCCATGGGGGATCTACTTGGTCTTTGTTCCAACCATTCTACTTCTGGGACTTGTATCCTGAGGAAATAA